CTTTTATTTAAAAAAAAATTGAATCTTTTATATCTATCATAAATTCAATTAATATCCAAATTAACATATTTAAACTGTTCTTTTTTTATCTTTTATTATCAATAATCCGTTTCAGAGATCAGTTCACATATCAAATAGTTCACATATAAAATAATTTCAACTTTCTTTTAATTATAATTGTTGAGAATTAAACCGTAATCTTCTCTATCAAGAACAACGTCAATTAATACGGGATCAAACTAACTAAAAAATGTCTTTTAACATTGAAGATTTTTTTTCTTGTATAATTTTTTAAATAAAAAATTAACATATTTAAAAAAGTTTCTTTTAACATTAAAGATTTTTGTTTTTTTTTTCTTTGTATATATAATACATTTTTTTAGACAATAGTTTAATTGTAAATATTATCACTACCATTTTTATTATTTAAACAATTTTATAACTTTTATATTTTATTATATATTCGATTAATATCCCTATTACAGTGTGTAAATATTTAATGTCAACATTACTTTTATAATATTTTTATAAACAAAAACAAAAACCAACTAATTCAAAGAGCTTTTTTGACCTTAAAGATTTTTGTTTTTTTCTTTGTATGAATATTAGAATTATTTAATAATAAATATTTTTTGATATAATTACTCAATAACAAAAATTGAGAATTTCTAACCACAGCTCTTACATTCCTCATTCATTTGCGAATTGGCAAAATTGCCCTCTTGCTTTCGTAGATGCATCTCCGGAAACATCACCTTTTTTTACATTTGCGAGAAAACGTTCCGTAGATGTACCTACGAAACACTTTCGTAGGTACATCTACGGTATAAACCCAAAATCAGTAAAGCAGAAAAACAACATTTGTAACGACAAAAGAAACACTCATTGATTAAAATCGGCATTACATCGAAATTTCCAACAAAAAATTAAGAAATCTAAGAAATTACATCAGTCAAAACAATTTCACCTGATCCATGCATCATTTGAATGACATCAACATCACTTTCCACTTCATCCCACCAACGTTCCATTTTTCCAGTCTCAAGTGAGGTCTTTGTTCTAAGCCTCTGAATCCTTCTGATGTCTACGCCAAGTTTGTACTCCCCCTCTAACCAAGACATCAGAGACCTTTTTAGTTGATCCAAGGAATTGATGTGCCAAAATTTTATCTGTATCAGGGGTTTGAGAGGAGAGAAAACAACATGCCCATCCCTTTTAAAAATAATTTGTTTAGGAGCGGGTCACTTGGATGATGTCCGCTGCCATGATGATGGCCTAGGGGATGCCATTTTTGTGTTTGTGTGTAATACAACACTAGAAACCCCCAATTTTATAGAAGAACTTGGTGAATATGGACCACACATTCTCTGTCACAGAATGTTCCATAGGTATCCACGGAAGGATCATAGTATTTTGCTTCCGTAGATACATCTACGAAAAAAACCCATAATTTTCAAAATTAGAGCCTTCCGTAGATACATCTATGGAAGTTTCCCTGTTAGTTTTTTGACAGAACAGAATCACATACAAATAGTAGTACAAGCAAAAACACACAAACACATAAACTAATACTTGACAAAAAGGATTATATTGCAATGTTAAAGAGTGCATATATTACACTTTGAAACTAGTAAATACATCAAAAGAACTGTCGCTGGCTAAATCTATTGGTGGTTCCAATTTTGACTTTTCCTTATTCAATTCTTTTTTGATATTCTTCAATGTTTTGAATTCGTGCATCCTATCAACAAAACATTCGAGCACATCTCGACAACTTCGGTATGATGAAGATCCCATTCCGATGATGTAGGTGGTATGGGGCATCCCAGTTTCAAGTAAACTTGGACAAAGTGACTCTCTTTAGAAAGACATCCAATACACATGCAGCGATCATTTGAATTTGGAGGCGGTGTTGTGCGGAGCGGAAAAAAGGTTTCCGAAAAACCATAATGCGTCAAGTCAATGCACACCACATCATACGCGCATGCTATAAAATGTCCCACTTTCGGGAATCTCATCCATTTTGACACCGGTGCGATAGGGCCCATCCAAGGAATAAGAGATTCGTTAACCGCTTTAAATTTAACCTCTCCATATAACTTCCTGTATGATTCCTTATGCGTCTTTAACTCTTGGATAAGTTGTTCTCAGACAAGCTTATGGTTATGCTTTCCTTACCAAGAAAAGCTGATACGGCTCGGTAACCGTAATTACCATCCCTTACAATATCTACGGTCCGCTCGATGTAAGGGTGCATAAAAACCGACATCTCTTTGATAAATGAGATAAAGGTGGAATAGGCATCTCTTCGATAATTGGAGTTTTGAGTGGAATAGGTGTCAGAGGTGGAATAGGTGTCGGAGGTGGTTTGCTTATGCGAGCTCCTTTGTTTGAACTTTTTTGAGACTTTTGAGATTTAGGAGTCGGTGAGTCAAGATAAAGTTTATCGACATGCTCACAATAAGAAGGAGATCGTGTAGTCGAATTGTCATTCGGTGTATGCTTCAATTTCTTCGAAGCACCCTTTGTCTTAACCGGTTGAGAAGGCGGTTTCATGTCGGTTGTTTTGGGATATCCAATCTTCTGCAATTGTTCTTTGATGTGTAGTTTCATGTTGTCATCGGCCTTCAAAAACCTCTCTTGTATCACTTCCAATTCAGAAGTAATAGATATATTCAGTTTTCTCCTTCGATGCAACCATCATCATCAAAACTAAGTCTCTTTCCAATGAGGAATGACTTCGTCCATTCTTATTGGCTCGCCTAGTCTCTCCTTTTTAGCAATAACACAAGCACACGGGAGACCATACGTTCTAGTAATAGTGCAACCACACTTTACCCTATCGCCACCAAAAGTTTCACCTCGTTTGGCCTCGTGAAAGATATAGTTCAACCCAGCCCGAGACATATTGCCGATCAATTGAGAATAAAGGATGTTATCCTTAAATTGATACTCCAACACCATAATGCTCCGACCGAATGAGGTTTATATATCATTGTGTTGATTTTTAATCATGAGATTTGCGGTGTCCCAATCTCGACAAAAGTCACCCTTACTATTAGAAGTAGGAAATACCTTTGCAACTGCATTCATCAAAGCGGTATCACGGTCCGTAACAATCGCCTTAGGCATCTCGAATTGTTTCTTCAAAAGTGACCGACACACCTTCAATACCCACCTAAAATATCCTCTTTTTCACACTCCAAAAAAGCAAAACCAACAGCGTATGTCTTCTCGGTGGATGTAACACCGACCATCTCAAATAATGGAAGTCGATACTTGTTGGTCTTGTAGGTAGAATCCAGAAGGAGCACTGTCGGGAAAGTGTTGAACAACTTTATCGAATCTAGATGAATCCAAAAAATATCTCGGACTGTAACCCCATCATCGCAAGTTCTGTACCGCGACACGTATTTGTTATCATCCAACATTTTCATCAGTTGTTGAATCTCACTCTTATCTCCCTTACTCGCCTTATTATTGCGGTACCGTTGATTATACAATTGTCTTATATTCGATACATTTGTCGGGTTCCTTCCGTTTTAATGTGTCAAGTATATTTTTCGGTTGGACAAGATTCAAGGACATGTCATTAATACATGTCTTCTTTTCCGGATTGAGCCGACATACAATAGGATGACCTTGTAATTTTACGCACAAGTCATGGTTATGCAAACCACAAATAACACTAAATCTCCACTTCTTGCTAGCCAACATGTAACCACCGATTTTAAATGGACACTCGCATTTCCTAGTACCCGTGTCCTCTCTTATAAAATTCCTTAGAGGAGGATGGTATTTCCCTCTTTTTCCGCACAACATTGTTACGAAAGCGTTTCTTCTTACTGTATCATTACCCGATCTTCCTATTACCGTATCAAAACCAAGGTTAGTTGCATTCCTATGAATCCATGTTAGCATGCTTTCACGATCATCAAAGTCTTGCTTGTTATTAAAGCCACCGCCGACATCTACCGCCTTTACGACCACACCTTCAACACTCGGAGAAACATCGACTAAAAGATCTAATTCTCTTGAGATATTATCGGATTGCACCATACCTATTTGCAAACAATTGTCAAAATAACAAAAAAAATTACAACAATGCTGGAAAAACAACACAGACACGTCCCGTAGATACATCTACGGAAGATGTTCATCTTCAACACGTTCTGTAGATGCATCTACAGAAGCGACGTAACTTTTTCAGCATCAAAATCATGCATAATGTGAGCAATGCAATGGATGAAAAATGAATATTTACCTAAAATTCGGTCTTCTCTTGCTCCCTTTGGTTTGTTGCACCAAAAAGTTAGAGTTTTGGAGTGAAAAATGGTATTCGAGAAGTAGGGTTTTTATGTTGTGAAAAGTGAGTGTGGATGAAAAAATGTAACAATGGGAGAATGATCATACTGTTTCTATTATATCAAATACTTCCGTAGATGCATCTACGAAAATGTGTGACGCTAAGCTAATCCGTAGATACATCTACGGAATAATCCCTGAACTGAATAAAACGGTAATTCTTACCATGTTTTGTTGGTTTAAAATCCTTTTGTAGATACATCTAAGAAACGAAACAATTTAAAAATAAATAAAAAAACTTTTGAATATGTAATTACGAAAGGGGACATAATTAGAATTACGCTAGATGGCTAAGAGATTCAACGGGTGCATTGAAAAATTCTCCAAATATTATCTATCACTAACATTTTTGAAAAAAATTAAATTACTTTTATAAGATAAAAAAACATTTTAACTTAACTTAACTTCTTAAGGCATAAATACATTCAACAATGATTTTTCAAATTAAGTTCTAAAAAGTAAAGTTGAAAAAAAAAGAAAAAAAAGTCCAGGTAGGATATTAGGAAGCGCATCATTGTCAGTGAAAGTGTCGGTGCTTCTCAACTGTCTCACTATAATACATTGCTTTGTCTCTCATCTTCATTTCATTCATCATATAATTCTTTTTTTCCGTGTTCTTCTCTCAGTTCCAAGATATGGGTTTTGATTTGAGACAAGTAGTTGCTGGTATCCTCACACTCACAATGTTTGTCATGCTTATTCATATGATTAAAAGGGATCATTTTGATTCTGTTCAAGTAAGACCCTTTACTCATTCTTATCTAAAGTTTGCTTTTTTCTTTGTTTTTATCAATAATTTTGATGTTGTGTATGTGAATCTCTCAAAGGGTCTTGTTATTTTAGTTTTTTTTGTTTGTTTGTTTGTTATGAACAAAGTTTTACTCACTAATTGTTCATTTAAGGGATCTGAATTTCTATAGAAAATTAAATAATTCAATTTTCAAGGGTCAACCTAAAAACTCCATTTTTTGTGTAAGCATCTTGAAGCTTGTAGGGATGCTAGATCCTTAGGTTATAAGCTAGGAGACATTAATTGTTTGTGGTGGATGTTTAATTTTCATCAAAATTATGATTTGAATAGTGATTAGCTATGGTTTTTATACTTTATAGTTGTTGTGATATTATTGATTGATTTGTGTGAAGAGATTATGAATTAACTATTAAGCAACCAGTAATAATGCATCTATGTCTTATTTGGTGACAAAATCTAATGTTTTATGTCTTTAGCAGTCAATTGTTGTTTTGTTTCTGTCTCCCAAAATTGTTTTTCTGATGCAAATTTGTTTTTATTAGTCTTTTTTTTTTATGTAAGTTTCGATTTATTAATTTCACTTGTTTTTGCTTTACAAGGATAAAACATTTCCAGGAACAGACGATGCAACCTACGAAACTGTAAAGATGGATGCTACACATGTAACAAAGAATATAGGACTTTGGAAGGGAGATACCGACGAGTTAAAACCGTGTTGGGTTAAGCCATCTGGAGGTAAAGTTCAATTTTAATTTTTGCAAATTGTCAAGAAACATAAGCGCGTGGATTCGATCTTTCTATCAATGTTTATTCATATTTTGACAATGGCTTGCAGATGAAGTGGAGCAGACGGAGGGATTTGTTACCTTTTCATTAACCAATGGCCCCGAGTATCATATATCTCAGGTAAACGATTCAACCGTTGTGATGTGCTTATTGATGATAGTTTCGATACGATTGATAATTTTTGCCGCTATGATATTATATATGTGTGCAGCGTACTCCTTCAGAGAGTGTAGTATTGTCAAATTTGAAGTTATTTATTTCCATTGTATATTTGCAATTTGCATACTTTCGTTCATTTTCCTTCTCCCGAGATCTTTGTTGGTAATCAATATGCTTGTCCAGATAGCGGATGCGGTGATTGTGGCTAGAAGTCTCGGGGCAACACTTGTAGTCCCTGATATCAGAGGAAGCAATCCTGGGGACAAGAGGTTAGTTCTTATGACCATAAGATTGGTTCACACTGTAAAAAATCAAAATTAATCGCTACTAATGTAATTGATATCTCAGGAATTTCGAGGACATTTATGATATTGGTGTGTTCACAAAAAGCATGGAAGGAGTTGTCAAAGTGACAAAGGAACTTCCTACTCAAGTAACAACAAATAAAATTGCTGCAGTGAAGGTCCCTAATCGGGTTACCGAAGATTACATAGCTAGACACGTGGAACCAATCTATAGATCAAAGGGAAATGTAAGGCTAGCGACTTACTTTCCTTCAATAAACATGAGAAAGTCAGGGAAAAAAGGTGACACCGATTCCATTGCATGCTTAGCAATGTATGGAAGCTTGGAGTTGCAGCCGGAAATGCACAACCTTGTTGACTCAATGGTTGAAAGACTCAGAACTTTAAGCCGAAAATCAAATGGTCAATTTATAGCTGTTGATTTGAGAGTTGAGATGTTGAACAAGAAGGGTTGCCAAGGAAATGATGATAGTGACGGTGAGAAGAGCTGCTTCAATCCACAGGAGATTGCGATGTTTTTGAGGAAGATCGGAATTGATAAGGATACCACAATTTACGTGACACAATCAAGATGGGATGATAGCCTTGATTCTCTTAAGGAGTTTTTCCCTAAAACTTACACAAAGGTGAGATATTTGTTCTCATTCACACAGTTAGCAATTCAATACTCAGTTGGATTGTGATACACGTCATATCTCTCATTTCATCTTAAAATTGTTGCAGGAATCCATCATGCCGGCGGATAAGAAAGCGAAGTTCCTAGACTCGGGAGATTCTGAATTGGAGAATGTGATTGACTTTTATATTAGTACCGAAAGTGATGTTTTCGTACCAGCAATTTCAGGTCTATTGTACGCAAACGTAGCTGGTAAGAGAATTGGTTCTGGTAAAACACAAATATTAGTTCCGTCGGAAATCTCAGATTCATCGGCTTCAGCCTCAAGTTTCTTGTCCCCTTATATCTCAAAGAAAAACCACTTTGCATATTCTTGTTACTGTTAGTAGTTTGTTGTTTGCGAATGTAACAATGTATTCAGTTTTTTAAGGGCCTAAGGTCTTCTGTTTGCAGATTTTTATGAAATTTTCAGCAGAAAAAAGGAGTCAAGTGTTCACTAGATTGAGATTTTGTTAGCATGTATGTACACAGGGCTTTCTTTTTTTTTTTAAATTTTTTTTTTTTACATATTTGGCTTGTAAAATTCTTCTTAAGAGTGAAACAATCGATACTGCATTCATTGAGTTTGAGTATTTTATAGCATGTTTTTAATTTGAATAGGTAGAGATATCCATTGAATCTGTGTACTTGATTGGATTCTTGTAAAATGAATATAAATCCTCTTGAAGAGATGTTTTGTTTTAGTCTTGTTCCTCTCTGTTTGTTTCCAATAGGAGTTAGTGCACAAAAGATTTGGGCATAAGGTTAGGCACACTCACATAAAACATAAAATATAAGAAATTGAAAGAAAAATAATTAAAAAGTATATATTTTTTAAAAATTAATTTATATGTAGCTTGACGAGTGTGTGCCTAAATCATTTATGTCTGGGTTTGTGAACAAGAAAGTATTTCTCTTAAATAAGTATAAATACATTTCAATTTGGTTTTTATAGAGGTATTTTGTATGTATCAATCTATTGATTTCTATTGTGTGAACTAAATTTTATTCACATTTTAGGTGGATTAAAATGCAAATAAAATTTGAAAAATGGGAGACATCTCCTTGCTTGATTATTATCAATGATTTATTTTAGAGTGTATGATCTAAAGGATCAACTCGATTAATTGAATAATCAATCTCAACCACTCTTACGTAAAAAGGGTAGACATGTTGAGTATCGCTGTTTGTCGTCTATCAATCGACAATGATGGATATGTTTATGTCATCAACATGTAATTTTGAAATATCCATGATACGAGAATCATGTTTTCTATATTTAGTCTCTATTATGATAATAAATGATAGTGTTACCTTAGTTAAATTTGTTTATGTGATCTATTAAAATTTGATGTATTTCACGTGTATGGTTAAACCCGATAAAAAAGTAAGTAATTTGTGTTTAATTGATGTTAATTGATCTTATTTATGTTTAATTGATGAATTGTTGGCGTTGTTGATTCATTATGATATTTAACTTAATTTAATTTAATGAATTGTTTGTGTTTTGGAGATTACTTTATATTCTTCATGATTCAAATTCTATAAGTTGAATGTTTAAAATCATGTTGTGAATTCTAGAATTAAAAATATATTTGGATTTTCAAAAGACAATTAAAATGTTGGGAAAATATTGCCTTCACATTTGACATGAGCTATAACATCCTAACTCTGTGGTATGAAAATACGAATAGTTTAGGATCACAATCTATATTTATTATTAAATGTAGATGGTAAACTTATTAGTTTTTATATTTATATAAAATTCCGACCATAAAAAGTATGAAATAACTAATACAAGTATCTGATAATTAAATGAATAAGTAATATACGCATTATTTTCAACAAGCCGTCTTAGCTCAGCTGGTAGAGCGCGTGGCTTTTAACCACGTGGTCGTGGGTTCGATTCCCACAGACGGCGATGTTTTTAAAAATAAGCTTTTGCAATACCATGTTTGTGAAAAATATTTCCTCAATTGCCACCCTCTCAAAATATATTCTCAATATGCCACTTTTCTATATTTTTTTATTATACAAAAAAACCCACCCCTTTAAGGGGTAGCCATCTAACATGAAGGCTCTCTTTCTTTTTTTTTCTTCATTTTTTATGTTCTATCATTTTTAGTTGTTTTAAAAATAAATTTTAAATATAATAAATTATAATTAATTAATTAATAAATAATTAAATAATACATTATAAAATATTTAAAAAAATAAAAAATTTAGCAATGAAGAGTGTGAACTCTTGTCACGTTAAGAATATGTTGTTTACTAAAGTTTTGAATCTACTCTGTTTCAATTTGACTTCTACTCTAAGAAATTACTTTTTTATTTTGGAAAAATGTGCGTATTCACGACAGGTTGTGCACTTTTAATGCTTAAGTAATTGTATAATGCAAGAAATTAGATGTTATATGTAGTTTTATACTATAGTGTGTTTTATAGCTTTGCCATGACTTATATTATTTTTGATATGATTCTTGTATCCTATTTATTGTAGTTCTCAATTCTCATTTGCAACTTAAATCAATCAAATCTCTAGAAAATATAATTGATCGTACTTGATTAGAAGAATCGTCGAAGGCCCACTGGACTAGATGAAACAGTTGTTAGGAGTGAGATGGAGGGTACTTGCAAGCTATTCTGATGCCAAAGTGAGAATGAGAGCAGTGAACCCGTTATTTTCGGAGGGCAAGTGACGATCGAGATAACCGCGGACCACGTCCACGTAGGTCATGTGGGGGAAATCCCCAACGATTATATTTGGCTTGGGCCAAAGCAGAAGCTCTGGACTGGGTCTGCCCCTCCGCGGGCCAAGTGTTTGGCCCAGTCCTGAACATGAGCCCCCCAAGTTATTGCTCTTAGATGAAAAGAGCGATGACTTAAGGACTACTGAGCTGTCGGGGAGATATTGCACGAGTAAGGGAATTGTTGTCCTGGCCGGGGAAACCTAATTGTAAAGTCGTTGTTTATGTCGGGGACTATACGACCTCGTAAATTCTCCCTGATTATGGGCATTGTTCAGGGAATACTTCCTCGACTGGCTTGTCGAGTGTCTGCTAGGGGAAATGCTTGTTGCGGAGGTGTCACCCGATGAAGGGGAACCTTATGGTCGAGGAGGGCCTCGCGAGTGATCCCACTTTCCTTGAGTTCGAACATCTCCTCGACCATCGATTCCATAGGAATGCGGGCAGTTCTGACTTTATGCAAAGGTTCCGTTAGAAAGGGGGGCACTTATGGTAAAGAAAAAGTCAGGCATCCCCTGTAGGCACATGAGCCCACGTGGAATTCTTTGAACTTGAGAGTGTATCCCATGTAGGTTACACGTGGCAGCAACCCGAAACGCCACCCCTGCCCGGGGAAGTTTAAAGGTCCAAGTAATGATGACGTTTGGCATGCTACCCCGTGTGGTGGGGATTGGCCTATAAAAGGAGATGAAGAAAAATGTTTTAAATATTTTTGCTTATGCTCTCTCTGTAGTTCTTCTTCGTTCGTGTTTTATTTCCATTACCATCTTTGCCGCAAAAATCTACAACTTTCTCTTCTCCAAGTAAGTGATTCTACCTTGACTCTTAGGCTTTTAGGCCAAATGTTTGAATTTTGCCATAGATTGTTGAATTTCTGGGCGAAATTCATGGGTTCAGCTGAACATTCGAGGGTTTGGAATTAATCTCCATGAATGTTCATCTGAGTTCTTAAATGCGGATGAAAATTCACGTTTGGGTTCTTGATGATCTTCATTCATGCTCGCGTTGGGGTCATCCCCCTTCGGCAGGATGTCCCTGCATAGAGTTCTAGTGGGATAAAAATCCTAACGTTTTTCTTCGTCAAGGGCTTTAATCGAGGAAACACTCCCCGACTCGATCATCGCCCTTTCACTTGACTTGCGGTGGAAGGGTGAATTTGATGATGTCAAATTCACTATTTCCCCTTACTTTTCAAGTACGATGACTCAACCAGTTGAGGGAGATGGCATGCCCGACATCATCGAGAACAAAGTTGTAGTCGCGACTAATCCCGTCGCATGGGTAGCGCCTAAACCCAGAAATAAAAGATCGTGATTTATGAGGGACGCATCTGACGCGTTCAACGTCCCCGAAGATAAACCTAAAGATTCCCCCGACTCCTGGGTGATCCAAATTCCTCACAAGAACAAGAGGATTTTCTTGTCTTTCCTGGGTAAGCGCTTCCACATGTACGAATTCGCTTTTAAGGAGGCGGGGATGCGCTTGCCCTTCAACAACTTCCAAGTAGGGTTTTTCAATGGTTGCAGCTGGCGCCCTCTCAACTTCATCTAAATGCGCTTGTATTCATGTGGGCATTCGAGCCTGTTTGTTGGTATCTCAAGATCGGTGTTAAACTGACTCTATTCTTTCGTATCTTTCACCTCCAACAGTAGACCATTAACGGGCAACAAGCATAGGTGTCATTTAAGCAATTTGAGAAGCTCTTCTGATCGTATTTGGAGTCAGTGCGCAACTTCAAAGATAGGTACTTCATCGTGAAGCCCCTTACTGATGCAGCGATAGACTCCCTGTATGACCATTCAGAGGAAATGGTCGATGGTCAGGCGGTGACTAGACTGACGGCGAAGTTCCCTCTTGAGTCGAAATAGAAGCATTTCGAGCAGAAGCCTGAGTGTTATACTATGAAGCTTGAGAAGCTGAATGTCTGATGTTGTACCCCAAAATTTTCCCTCTCATATTTCTCAAGACATTGCAAGAAAAATCTCCAAATGGCTCAAGATAGCTCAAGAGTTGGTCAGACAAGCTATCTCCTAAGGAAGTCTACCCCAAATTAGGGTTTGGTGTTGCATCAAGGTCCATGAGTCCAAATGACCTCTGTGACCGGTGGAAATAGAACTTACTGTTTTGGAATGCTGGTTCGCGTTTGTTTTTGCAAAATGTCGCGGTAAGCAAGAGTCGCCACCGTCTTTTATTTTATCCAACAAGGAAAGGACAAAAGCACAGAAAAATTCCTTTTCGAGATGTTTCTCGGGTTCGAGAGGTAGATTATAGAAAGGGAAGGTGTTAGCACCCTTTCTATCCGTGGATAACCACGGGCTCTTAGGTACTTGCTCACTATGTTTTCAAAAAGTTTTGCTTTTCTTGTGTTCGTGGGTTTTGAAAAGAGTTTTGTTTGAAAACTTCGATTTAACTCTTGTTTCTGTCCTCAAGAGTGTATGAAGTGTTGTTGAAAACTTTGTTTGAAAAGTGTAAGTGCGAAAAATTTGTTTTGTTTTGAAAGAGCAAGTACCTGAGAACCTCTACCTACTCAAAAGGGAATTAAACTGTGCAAATGTCCTTTAGACAGTGCTATCCCACTATTGAGAAGTAGGTAGCACCGT